CCTGCCTCAGCACCGCAAATAAACCTCTGCTGGGGTGGTTTGGTTCCTTCCACCTTCCCCGTTTCCAGCGGAGGGCGAGGGGAACCCGGCGGTGCCGGGCAGGGCTCGGGGCACCCGGGGAAATCATCTTGTGTGCATCAAACCTCGGAGTCAGCCCGGGAGGGAGCGACAGACACACGTACAGGTCACCCGGTGCTTCTCTTCAGCCACCGCTCATGTGGGAAGTGATTTAAGTTGTCAGGAAGAAGCTCAAGCTCCCCACTGCCCTCGCCAAGCTTTGGAAACTTAAGTCAACCAAAAGGGGTTTTCACTCTCTTATTTCACCTTTTCAGCTAATTGCACCTCCAGCTGAGCTGCCCTTGGTCCCTGAGCACCTGCCCTGGTCTGGGGTGGAGAGGTGGGAATGAAGCAGGGAGGCTGGAGTTGGCATCTCCTGCTGCACCTGCAGGTTTCCCAGCAAAGGCTCCTTCCTGGAAGCCAAGCAGGGCTCAGGCTGGGCTGTTTGGGTGCTGTTACAATGGTCAATATTTACCAGAAATCTCCCCTGCTGTCACATGAACTACAAACCCAGAAACTTGGCTGTGCAGAATTTCCCACTAACTCGGCCAGGGGGGATCTGGGTTGGAGGGAGACCAAGGAGGGACCCTGGGGTGAGGAAGACCAAGGAGGGACCCTGGAGTGAGGAAGACCAAGGAGGGACCCTGGGGTGAGGAAGACCAAGGAGGGACCCTGGAGTGAGGAAGACCAAGGAGGGACCCTGGAGTGAGGAAGACCAAGGAGGGACCCTGGGGTGAGGAAGACCAAGGAGGGACCCTGGAGTGAGGAAGACCAAGGAGGGACCCTGGAGTGAGGAAGACCAAGGAGGGACCCTGGAGTGAGGAAGACCAAGGAGGGACCCTGGGGTGAGGAAGACCAAGGAGGGACCCTGGGGTGAGGAAGACCAAGGAGGGACCCTAGGGTGAGGTCTAACACTGCAAATAAACCCCCTCCAAGTGGCACCACTGCCCAAAGAGTTGCCTTCCCGGGGAGCTCCCAAAGGGCTGCTCCAACCTGCCCACCCTGGCCTGTAACATCCAGATGCACCTGGAGCTGCTGCCTGGTCCAAGCTACCCCAGCAGGGCAGGACCACGAGGCCTGGGAGACACCCTGGCAGGGAGAGCCAGGCTTGTGGCACCACGCTGGGGAGCATTGCCCCCTCCACCAGACCCTGCTGGGAGAGAGGGCCCAGCAGAGCCCAGATCATCCAACATGGGCTGGGGGAGCCCTGGCTGTTCAGCCACCCTCTCCCAGTTCAGAAGGTGGGGTCTGTGACCCCCCCCCACTGCAACCCAGCAGAGCACGGGGCTGACAGACACCCCTCATCTCCCCTCCTGGGGGGGGTCTGGCAGGGTCAACCCATGCTCAGTGCTGGGAGCAAAGGGATGCTTCCCAGGGGAGAAGGAGGGGAAGGAGCTGGGCAGTTCTCCTCACCCTTGCACCACCTGCAAGGTGGGTGCCAAGAAGCCCCCAGCCCAAGCAGCCACAGCTCAGCCAGGGGCCTGGGGACTGCACCTGGCTGTTCTGGGCCCCTGCACAGCTGGTGGAGACCCCCAGCCCACACCCCACATTTTGCCATGTTGGTGAGAAGGGCAACGAGTCCCAGGGACACCACCAAGTGTCCTGACACCACCAAGCTCTGCCTCATGGGCACATCCATCTCAGGATTGAGATCTCCTATCACTAAAAATACCCAGAAAAGGCACCTCTTTATCTGGAAAATCCCCCAACTAAACCAGCATCCAAGACACCAGCTTCTTGCCAATAGTGTTACCATTGTGCCTCCCTCCTCCCCCAACTTCCACACCAAATGCACCTTTCAAGAAGCCAGTTTGGTGTGGACACAACCCAGGAGGCAGTTCCTGCCCTCCCAGCCCTCCATTCCTGTTCTCCTTCAGACACCAACCCCTGGGTGCTGCATCAGGAATCCCTGGAGAAGCCACAGCCAGAGGCTCTAGCAGCTCCAGCCCCAGCCCTGGGGCTGCAGCAGCTCCTGGTCCTCACGGTGCTGCCATGGAAAGCTGGTTGTGTCCTGCTCTTGCCCTGCTCCACTGGGGCTTCACCACTGTCAGGGCTTGGAGGGGTCAAGCCTGAGGAGCTGCAGCCCCAGGGATGAAAGCAGCAGGGCAGGGCAGGTGAGAGGTGGAGATCACTGGGACAAAGGGGAGTTACGGACCCTTCTGCACCCTCCTGTGTAGGATTTCAAGGCCAGGCTTGGAACAACTGCAAGGGACTTGCCAGGATCCATCCTGGCTCAACGTGGGGGTGGGAGTGAGGAGAGGAGCCCCCTCTGCTGCTTTCCAGGCACTTCCTTCTCTGTCCTTGCCTGAACTGACCCAGAGCAACATCAAGCTCACTGAACTCCTTCATCCCCACAGCCCAAAACCGGGGTGGGCCAACTGCAAGTCTGGGGTGTCCAGGTGCAAGTCTGGGGTCCCCAGGCAGATGTGAGCAGAGATCCAGGGACTCCAGAGTACAGAAAAGCCCAGCACTGCCCAAGGATCAGCCCTGTCCATCCTGCCCACTGGGGATGAGCAGCTCTTCACTGCAGCAGGAAGAGCCTGGGACGTGTCTGTGGGCAGCAAGGGAGGCTGCAATCCCCCTCTTGCTCTCAGTGATGTCAGCCTTCCTCACACAGGGAAGTGCAGGGGCACTTCCACTCAGCACGTGTCTGTGTCTCAGAGCCTTTAGCAGCTCCTTTGCTGGGGGGAAAATATTCCTCTTTCAAACCACAAACTAGTCCTGGCAACCAGTCAGCTGAGAAAAGAGCTATTTAAAAGCCAGACCCAGCCAAGGCAGAAGATGTAGGCTCTGGGCCATCATTGCTGGAGGCTGGAAAAGCCATAGAGGGTGACTTTTGTTGACTTCCCTAAGTGAGATCTGCAAGGTTTAAAAATAAAAGCCCAACCCTGCAGGCAGCAGGAGTGCCCTGAGGCAGCAGCTCTGGCTGACTCAGCCACTCACTGTCACATCTAGGGACAGACCTGGGGCTCAGGGTGACACGGTTGGGTTGACCCAAGAGATGTGAGCTTAGAATCATTGAATCGTTTGGGTTGGAAAAGAACTTTCAGGTCATCAAGTCCAGCCAAGTCATCAAGTCCAGCCCTGGCTGCAGGGGTGGGAAATCCCTGTCCCTCAGCCCTGCCGTGGCTGGTGGAGGCCAGGTTGGGGGGGTGATGGCTGATGTTGAGTGATCATGGGGTGAAACACGTGCAAAAAGCTGGCAGGGGTAAGCAGAGTCAGAAGAAAGTGGTCTGGGACTGGCAACAGCACCTCTCTCCTCCAGATGAGACCAGGAAGGACACTGGTGACAAGGGATCGTATAATAAAATAACTTCTTTGGTTTCTTTCTTTAGAAAACATCTCTCACAGACAGTACACAAACAGGTAGTTAGAAATAAGTGTAAAGCCAGTGGTACCCGTGGTGTCAGGGTCCTGCACCCACTCACACCCAGCAGGGAACTCCTCTCTCAAAACAAAAGCCTGACACACAAATGCATGTGGATCCTCTGTGGGAAATACTGCTCAATAACTAAAGAACCCAACAAAACTAGAACCACACAGTTCAAACCAAAGCCAGACAGGTGTCTGAAAAGGGGGGACTGGGTTCTTCCCCAGAAAAAATGTCCCTGGCCACACGTTTCTCCTCTGGGAACTGATTGACTGGGAAAGCAGGCACCAGCTCCCCGGGAGCTGCTGGGATCTGCCCCACAACTGGGGTGCTGCTGCTCTCACACCCCATCCCAGGGACCCACCAGAGCACAGGGTGACACTGACCCACCTCTGTGCTGGATTTCAAGTCAGCTTTGGAAAGGTCAATAAATTAACAAGGCCACGGAAGGATAAAACAAACACCACCAAACAACCCCAAACAAACAAACAAACAGTCGAACTAGAACAAACCAAAAAAAAAGATCCAAAAAGTTCTTAGATTCATCAGATAATTTGGGTTGGAAAAGACCTGTAAGATCATCCATCCAACCCCTCAGCCAGCCCTGCCAAGGCCACCTCTGGCCCGTGTCCCTGAGCACAGTCCCTGCCCTCAGCGCAGGAGGAAGCGCTCCCGGACCTTCTCCTCGATGGAGTGCAGCTTGGCAGCCCTCAGAGCCTCCAGCAGCTCCTTGGTGACCTCGTTGTGCCCCTCTTTGAGGTGGGTGAGGAAAGCCCTGAACTTCTCCTGGATGGCTGCCCTGGTCCCCGGCGCCTGCTTCCTCGAGGAGCGCTCCAGGATCTGCTGCAGGCGCTTCAGCTTCCTGAGGGGGATGTTCTGATAAGCCACAAAGTCTATCATGGCCTGCTCACAGTCGTCATCTTCTGCTGCTGTGGGGAGAAAACCACCTGGGGGTTAGAGAGAGGTGACCACGGGATACCAAGAGAGCAGGTCACAGCCCCACCAAGCCCCCCCCCTGGGTCCAGTTCCCACCCCCTTGATGGGGCAGTTAGAAAACAACGTGTAAAAGCTCCTGTAGGTCTGAAAAAAAGGGAAATGCACCTTTGCCAGCTCCTCCCTGGGCTGTCCTGCCTGGGCTGTTCTGTGGCTCCATCAGTGATTGTTTTGGAAGTTCAAGATCAGTCTCATGACTTGGCCTCCCTGGCTGCTCAGGGCAGAGCAGCTGGTTCAGCACAACTGCCCTCACCTCGAGCGAGCGCCTGCTTCCTCGAGGAGCGCTCCAGGATCTGCTGCAGGCGCTTCAGCTTCCTGAGGGGGATGTTCTGATAAGCCACAAAGTCTATCATGGCCTGCTCACAGTCGTCATCTTCTGCTGCTGTGGGGAGAAAACCACCTGGGGGTTAGAGAGAGGTGACCACGGGATACCAAGAGAGCAGGTCACAGCCCCACCAAGCCCCCCCCCTGGGTCCAGTTCCCACCCCCTTGATGGGGCAGTTAGAAAACAACGTGTAAAAGCTCCTGTAGGTCTGAAAAAAAGGGAAATGCACCTTTGCCAGCTCCTCCCTGGGCTGTCCTGCCTGGGCTGTTCTGTGGCTCCATCAGTGATTGTTTTGGAAGTTCAAGATCAGTCTCATGACTTGGCCTCCCTGGCTGCTCAGGGCAGAGCAGCTGGTTCAGCACAACTGCCCTCACCTCGAGCGACCTCAGCCCCTCGGGAGCTGCCTCAGTTCCCACAAACCACTTCTGCCCCTCTTCCATCCCCTCACTTGTTTGGGTGAGTGTTATGAAGCCCCCCTGGAGCCAACCCATCACTCCCTGCTTCCCCTCCAAGGAAGTCAGGACCAGATGACCCCGGAGGTCCCTCCCGTGGGGCTCCTGCCCAACCTCCCGCCCCCCCCAGGGATCCACGCTGTGTCTGCACCGTCAGGGTGACACGGGTGACACCACGACTCTGCTGTCTCATCTAACAGGTCACAGTCCACCCTACGCTCAGCTCAGTTGCACCTTGGACTCTGCTCCTCTCAGCCTGCACGAGACAAGGCTGTGGCCACAACCAGACCTTGCCTGGGAAAGCAGCAGGTGAAGAGGCTGTGGGAGACACCAGGAGCTGAGGAGAAGGGGGCAGAGAGGCTCTATTTGATCCACAATTACTGTTAATTTAACATCACTTCATTCTCCTACAAACCATTTCACCTCACTTTGCACCTAAGGAGGAACAAGTGGCTGGGAAGTTCAATCCCACCTTGGCAGCCCCGTGGTTCCAGCATCACCCCCTCCCCGCCTCACCTGCTCCCTGAGTGCTGTTGCTTCTCCCCACTTTGCAGGAGGTGCAGAGGGTGTCGTGGTACTGGTTGCCTGGCACGTTGGTCACCTTCCCCTGCTGCTCACAGTCCTGGTGGGGCTGGCACTGCCTGGTGCTGGAGCTGGTGGAGGAGAAGAAGCCCCGGGGGCAGGCACGGCACAGGGTGTCCTCGAAGGGGGTACCTGTGCACGGGGGCAAGGCCACCATCAGCCTGGGGTGAGGAGCCAGCAGGACAAGAGCTGGGGATGGTGCCAGCAGAGCAAGGGTTGCCAGACACCACCTGAGCACGAGGGTGATGTTTTGAAGAGGATCAGCTCCCCTGAAATGTGCAGCCACTGGTGGCACAAACAGCAACACTTTCCCTGGGGCGCTTCCCCAGGCAAAGTGTTTGGCACGTGCTGCCAGGTTGTCACCAGGCACAGGAGGAGGTCTCTGCTAGGACACACCACCAGGGACAATGGCTGAGCCGAGTGCCATGATTCACAACTGAGTCAGGAGGCTCCTGGCCAAGTGAAAGTAAAAGTCACAGAGAAGGTGAAAGCTCTGCTGGCTCCTGCAATTTCCCACCCCAGCTCCGGGCCAGACCTGCTGCTGCTTCCCGGGAACTGAGCCACTGGGAGTGAGATTGCACCAGGGCACCTTGCACCTGTCCTGGGAGGAGAGGGACACGCCCTGGTGGCAGCAAACCTCACACCCTCTTCATCATCTCCTCCTCGTGGAAAAATGTCCCACCTGGTTGTGACCCACTCCAGGCCATTGCTTTGGCTCTACCAGGAGGACCCCAATGGCTGAGCAGGGATTTGCAAATGTGAAATCCCCAAGAAGCCCTCCAAGATCCCCAGAGGAACCACACCAGGATCAAAGACCAAAGCTCCCATCCAACCCAAAAGCCAGTGAGGTCACCCCAGCCCTGTGGTCACTGCTTTGCTACCCCCCTCCCTGTGTCCCCATCACCCCTGTCTGGACACCAGTGCTCCCAGCCCTGGGGCTCTGCCCACCCAAGGTGGTCCATGCTGGAGGTTCAAGTACCTGGGCTGGGGTCCCACCAGTCCTCACACAAGAAGCAATGTGTAAATAAATAGTAACAACAAATTTTCTTCTCAAATGCCCCAGCTTGCACACGTGGCTCCTCAGCCCTCCAGCCAAATTCAGTGTTTAATTTCAAAGGGTTTCCCTGCATTGTCTGGAGACCTGAGTCACCAGTTCTGCATTCCAGCCTTTGGAAACAGTCACGTCCTACGGAAAAATTAAAGCCCAAACCTCCACCTCCATGAAAATCAACTGAAGGCAACAAGTATTTCTCCTCCAGCCTAGGAGCCTGGAGCTCTTTTTGTGCTGTGCCCAGGAGGGGCTTCAAAGGCCTCTGCATTTCAAAGCACAAAGCAGGACAACGCTGGGTTTGCTGGGATCCCCAGCTCTGGGGACTCAGGGGGGAGGAAGGAGGAAACCCACGGGTAGGGAACATGTATTTTTAGAAAGTGTGGACACACACCAAGAGGGCAAACAGGGGACTCAGCAGATTTGTGATGAGGAAACAATGAAAAAAATAAGTCCTCTAAAATCTCTCTTGACTTCCATCTCACCGGGGGGTGGAGTCTGGGACTTGTTAATCTCCCCCAGATGTGAATCGAAACTGGTGATTTCTGTGGTTTGGGCACCTGACCATGTACCCATTTAATCTTTTAAGTAGAGCCTCTCAAATTGCTCAATCAAAACCGCAAAACCCGGCCCCAGAGCTACATGCATTCACCAGCCCTGCCCTCGCAGCATCCGCAGCCCTTCTCAGGGCAGATAATTAGCATCCCCCGCTCCCTCCCGGCGGGGAGACAGAAGGGAACTGGCAGAGCAGCAGGACCCGCTCGGACCTTCCCTCCTGCCGAGGGTCCCGGCAGGACGGGGGAATCCCAGCCCGGCTCTGCTGCTGCTGCAGGTGAAGCAGGGAACCAGCATTGCTGTGTCCCACCCAAGCCTGGTGCCAGGGGATTTCAAAGGCTTTCAAAGCAAAAGCAGGGGGGGGAAATCACCCAAATCACTCCTTGGAGTGGAACATGCAAAGCCAGCAAAGGTGGCACTGAGCTGGTGAGCAAGAAGGGAGTAGGTCAGGCTGCGGGCAACCATCAGCTATTGTATCTCTCTTCCATTTTTGGCTGCAGGGGAGGTTTGGGGATGCGACAGGAGCCTCACCCACCCCCACCCCCTTCCCCAGCCACCCAGCTGGGTGGGTACTCACCCAGTTTCTCCACGCCAGAGCCCGGCGGGCACTCGGAATGCCTGATGCAGAACTCCATCTCGGAGTAGTAGCCCTCCCGGCACTGGCAGACGCGGTTGTGCGTGGAGTTGCAGTGCTGCACCTCCACCTGCTGCTCCTCGCAGATCACGTTGCAGTAGCGGCACTTCTCCAGGTAGTTCCAGTAGTGGGTGTAGTGCAGCTCCGGGCAGGGCCCACACACGGTCTGCCTGTCCCTGCTGCAGTGCTGGGCCACGAAGGTCCCCGGCGGGCACTGCTGGCAGGTCAGCGTCTCCTTTGTCACAGCATCTTTCCATTGGTAGGTGGGTTGGGAGCTGGTGCCGGCGCTGAGCTCAGCCAGGAGAAAGAGGAGAGGGGCAAACACCCACTGCAGCAAAGAGAGTGCAGAGAGCCCTGAGCTCGTCCTCTGGCAGAGGCAGGAGCAGCCAACGCCGCTGCTGTGTCACAGGATGAGTTGCTGTTGCTATATAAGAAATTCTTGCCCCTCCTCACGCTCCCCCAGCCCCAGGGCAGAGGTGATGGGACCAGCGTTGCCCTCCACAAACCTCCCCATCCTCCCCCGGTTGCCATCCCAAGGGAAAAAGCAATCCTTCCCAAACGATGCTGCTCACCCCCTCTGTGACACCCTCACAACCCCGTCGCCCTCTTGTCAGTACCAAGAGCAGCTCCAGCGCCTTCTCCTCCTCTTTTCACACCGCTTGGTTTCCCAGCTTTTGAGGGTTAAAACCATTGCAGATCGAGGAGCAGAAGGGAAGTTTTCCCAAGCAAACAAAAGGGTGCTCTGGAGGAGCTCTCAACCTTTTTGGAAACTCAGACACCCAGTATAGGTCCAGAAAGTCTCAGGGTCTCATGGATCCTCCCGGCACCACGTGTGCCCGAGCAGACGGTTCCTTACCTGGGCTGGATGCCCTGGGCTCGGCAGGTGCAGGGCAGGGCAGGGCAGCATCGCACCGAGGGCTCCCGAGCACCGAGATCAGAAACCTGGGGAGACAGAGAGGGATCCCGAGAGGCCGGTGCTGGCTCCGAGGGCAGCGGTGGGGCTGGAGCTCCTCCCGCAGCAGCAGAGCCGGTCCAGCCTCCCGGCGTCAAAGGGGAGCAGGAGGCAGCGCGGGGCGAGCAGCGGGTTTTGCCCAGGAGGGGGT